CCAGCTCCTTGCACATTTTTTATGTAATACTTTGCTTCGTCTTCTTGAGCTGCACTTTGAAATGTTCCGTTCAGCTGTCTTAGGTGAGCATTTCTTCCCCTTGTTTTGGCTTCTTTATATTCTAATGCAACTTTCAGTGTCTCCTCTGATACTCACGTTGGTGTTCCCCACTTTCCTGTCTTTAGAATGACCTTCTTCCTTTTTATGGGAGATGTCCTGAATGTCATTCCACAAATCAGCAGTCTATACTTGAGATGGTTTTTTTAATCCGGTTGGGATTTGCTCAAGATCATTACTTTTCTTTGTTACACTTTTATTCGTTTTCTTCTGCTTCAATTTGAAGATGCACATAAATAAATTAGAGTCTGTTTCATAGTCAGTTATCAGCTTTGTTTTGACAGCTTGTCGGTAAGGAGTTGCACTGCCAATCTGAAAGCACACAGTTCAAATAAACCAGCAGGTCCACAGTAGAAAAACCAACCGTTTCCTCTTGTGTGATTGACAGCCTCTGAAAATCCACTGGAGGATCAGCTATGGGTTGGTTCTGATTCAAAAGCATGTAATACCACCACTGCCACTGGCTCTTTCCACACATGTAGTCATTCTGATTCCTGTGTCATCAGGTCAGGTCCTTGTGTATAGATGCTGCTTAAGCTTTATAAGATATTTGTAATGAATAAATCATTGTACAAAATTTTATTATTTGATCTCTAACCTCAGGTCTGGCAGCAAAGCCAAAATTCTGGAGGACAGTCACGGGGCCAACTAAAAGAAAACAGTATTTACATCCATTTAAAAAAAAAAAAGCTACAGAGAGTTCTGGTGGCTTAACGGCAAGACACTATACTGCAATCCTGATAGCACACAGTTCAAGGCCACCAGCTGCTCTGCAGGAAAAGGATGGGCAAACTCCTCCCATGCAATTAACTGCCTTTAAAACCATGCTGGGGGTCAGCTATGGGTCAGTTTCAACTCTACGGTACAACAACAATCAGAGTAAGGGAATTAACAAACAATATCACTAATATCCCATACTAGTAAAATCTTGCTGAGAATTATTCAAAAACTCCTGAAACAGGAACACTGATAGGGAACTTCCAGAAATTCATGATACATTCAGAAGAGAATATGACACAAGGGATATATATATCACTGCTGATGTCAGATGGGTCTTGGCCTAAAGTAGAGAATACCAGAAAGATGTTTACTTGTGTTTTATTGATTATATGAAGGCATTTAACAGTGTGGATTATAACAAATATGAATAACAGAAGAATGCAAATTTCAGAACATTTAATAACTTGTGCTCATGTGAAACCTATACAAAGACCAAGAAGCAAATGTCCAAACAAAAAAGGAAACAATTCATGGCTAAAAATCAGAAAAGGTGTGTCAAGTTTCTATCCTTTCTTTGTACCTATTCAATCTATATGCTCAGCAAAAGTTTCAAGAAACTGGGTTACATAAAGAAAAATCAGGATTGGAGGAACACTCATCAATAACGTGCATTATGCAAATGATACAGTCTTGCTTGCGGAAAATAAAAGCATGAAGCACTTGCTGCAGAAAATCAAAGACTACGGCCTCCCAATATGGACTACATCTTAACATCAAGAGAAAAAGATTCTCACCACTAGACCAATAGATAGCACCAGGATGGGGGGGGGAAGATTGATTTGTAAAAATAACATCCATGGCAGCTGTCTAGAAATCAAAAGATGTGTTACATTGAGGAAACCTGCTGTCAAGGATCTCTTTCAAGGGCTAAAGAGCAAGGATGTAAGTTTAAAGACTAAGGTGCACCTGACCTAAGCCATGGTATTTTCAAGTGTTTTATGTAGATCTTAAAGTTAAACAATAAATAAGAAAGACTGAAGAATAAATGCCTTTGAAATACAGTGTGATAAAGAATGCTAAATATAACATGTTCTTATGACATGGCCAAAAGAAGAAACAAATTTGTGTTAGAAGAACTGCAACCAAGATGCTCCTTAGAGGCAAGGAGCCTTTCTTTGAGTATGTTTTCAGGAGAGGCCAGTCCTTGGGGGAAAAAACATTCAGAGAAAGATAAAAGTTAATGAAAAAGAGGATGAACTTTACCAAGACAGATTAACACAGTGACTGTGACAATGAACTTGGGCATGATGGATGGAGACCATGAGGAGGCTGCAGGTAAAGGCAAGGTTTCAGTCTATTGTCATAGGGTCACTCTGAGTCAGAGTTGACTTGATAGCACTGAATAACAACAGCATAACAACTTGACTCTTTTATGTAAATGCTTTCAATTCAATACTCATTCTTTTCACATATTTATATTAAATTTAAGGAAAGCAGACTTAGTAGTATTTTTCTTTTTGAGAAGAAAAAACCCTGAAAATTTAGTCATTTAGTGAATTTTTCTTTTCCTAAGATAAGCTCCTAATAATTAAAATAATAGAATAGGTATTGAAGCCTGCAATAATTAACCTCATCTTTATTTTAACCACATTTGAATTTCTCTTAAATCTTAACATGGAAACAGCAAATATCTTGTCACAGATGAATGAGCCCATCCAGGGCTGCATCTGTTTGCTGAAACGTCTCAGTCTGTATCCCATCAATAGCTAAGGCCTTCTTTCTTGCCAATGTCTTCAGTGCAGGTTGGATTTCTTCTGTCGATACCATTAGTTTATAATCCTATGCTACTTCCTGAAATATTTCAGTGTCGACCAATTTTTTTGGTGTAGTGACTCTGTGTACCCCTTTCATCTTTTTTAAAAATTATTAAATTTTATTAATTTTAATGAACATTTATAGAGATTTGGGGTTTTTATTCATTCATTGTTGCACTATTTTCTCTACACACCTCCAAAGTTCGTTCTTCCTTTTTTCCCCCTTGAAAGTATGAAGGTTTCAGGGTGAAGATCTTCTCTCACTACTCTAACATCTTTTTTTTTAACATTTTTTGAATTGTGTGTGTGTGTGTTGAGCCCTCCTTCTCCAGCAGAACATCTGGTGGATTCAAACCAAGCACCTCTGGGATTGCAGTACAGCTTCTTGCCACTAGGGCACCAGGGCTCAACCCTTTCATCTTTTGATGCTTCCTGAATCATTCAATATTCTGCCCATTGAATGCTTCAATATTGAAACTTGAGGTTTGAATTAGTTTTTCAGTCTTTTTAGTTTGAGATAGGCTAAGTGTGTTCACCCTCTCTGATTTTCTTACTCCAGGTCTTTGCACACTTTGTTGTAATACTTTGTCTTCTCACATTGGCCTGTGAAATCTTCCTCTTCACTAATGTCATCATTTCTTCCTTTCATCTTAACTTCTGTACGTTCCAGAGTATGTCTCTTCTGACATCCATTTTGGTCATTTCTCTATTTTTCGATCTTTTTAATGACTTTTTGCTCTCTTTACATGGATGCTGCTTTGATTTCATCTCACAACTCACCTGGACATTCAATGACCCATTTCTTAATGGATGGTCATAGCTGTTTCTTCTTAGTGTAAGTCATATCATAGCATTAGATGTACCTCCTTCATTGACTTAAAACTACTCCAAGTTCATCATTAAAATACACTTGACTTTAAGGAGGTAACTCTTCTCGAGTTGAACTTGTAGTGCTCTTTCTCATCTGAGCAGCATTACAATATCAGACAATATTTGACTGTTATTCATAGGGCTTTCAAGCGTGCATTATTTCAGAAGCAGATGGTCAGGCTTGCTTCCTAGCCTGTCTTAGTCTAGATGTTCTATTGAAACCTTTCCACCATAAGTGACTCTGTTAGTATTTTAAATGCCAGGGGCATCGCTGGCAGAATCACAGCGATATGCAAGCCACTGAAACACAACAAACTGACCGACAAGTGGTGCTGGTTGTTGTTGGGTGCCATGGGGTCAACAGTGGCTCACAGCAACCCCAAGAACAATGGATCTGAACCTTGACCTATCCCATTCATCCTCATCATCTCTGATATACTTGAGCCCACTGTCAAAGTCACTGTGTCAATCCATCTTATTGAAGCTCTTCCTCTCTTTCTCTGATCCTTCACCTTTCCAAGTACTATGTCCTTTTCCAAAGGCAAGCCCCTCCTAACAACATCGAAAATATGTGAGACAAAGCTTCACCATCCTTGTCTCCAAGAAGCAGTCTAGTTGCACTCCTCCAAGACAGACGTCCTTGTTCCTTCGCAATCCACAGTATCCGTCACCAAAATCACAATTCAGTGTTCTTCACCACAATCACAGTCATAAACTGCACATCTTTCTTCTGTCATTGTTAGTCATGGTCCAACTTTCGGATGCATAACAAGTAATCAGAAAGACCATGGCTTGAATCAAATGCACCTGAGTGTTTGAACTGACCTCACTGCATTTTATCACCTTAAAGAGGCCTTTGTCAGCTGATTCACCCAACGCAAAGCATCTTTCAACTTCTTGACTACTGGTGCCAACAGTGTTGATTGTAGATCCAAACAAGATGAAAGCAATGACAACTTCAACCTTTTTCTCCATCTATCATGATGTTGCCCATTGGCCCAGTGGGGAGGATTTTTGTCTTCTTGATGTTAAGATGTAATACATAATCTATATTGAAGGCTGTTGTCTTTAATCTTCCACCCGCAAGCATTTTGAGTCTTTTTCACTTTGGGCTAGTTTATAGCTTAGAAATTAAAATATCAAATTACTAGGGAAAAGTATTGCTAAATCAAGACATTAAGACAGAATATAGCAATTATAAATAGGTCCAGTTAACAATGTATCCTTTTAAATTACCTCTAAAGAATCATCCAAGAATCTGGTATAAAAAAACAATACTCAAAAATTAAAGTTTTTGTTACCACTGGGAAGAGTATATGCCTGATCCTAATACTTGTCTTCTAAGAACAGAACCATGAATGAGAAAGGAGAGATTTAATGGATTATTTCAGGGGAATTTCAGAAGGAAAAGTAATGGTTGGCAATTAAAACAATAGAATCACAACAAGAAGCCAGTTCCATAGCAAGGGAATGCCTTACCCCAGCCTATCAGGATGAAGCCCCACAGATACTTGCTGTCCGAAAAGAAAGCCACAAAGACGAGACTATGCAGGTAGAGACCTTCCACCAGGATCCAATAGTAATTGGTAGCCAAGAAGTAAATGAACATCACAACAGCAATCTTGCACCCAATCTGTTACAAGTAAACCAAAATTGTGTCATATTAGAATTCTTCCTCATTACTCTACATCAACCTAATACCATGGGGGAGAGGGGTGACAACAGTTCTTATAGTTTAACATAGTTCTTGAAGAAAGCAATTGTTGAAAGAGACTCTAGAGACTCTAACCCAGAGTATTTTTAAAAAAATCAGTTTGATTCTACTGTTTAAAACAGATCTTTGCCTCTTAGAAGTAAAAAAGGAAAAGCATTACTTTTTCTAGTTTATTAATATAATCCATGATTATAAATAATGTAATGCACAAATAAAAATTATTCTAAAAAATTATTCTCCATAATTTTTCCATGAGTTTATTTACTACTCATCTTTTTTTTATGTAAAGTTATACAAAGAGTAGGGTATTACTCAAGGTTTCTGGAGTTCTAGCCAACACTGCCATGCCCTCATTTTGACCCCTCAGGTCACAGGATCAGTCTACAGTCAAATTCAACAGGCACTGCAAAAATTACAGGGCAAATAGGGAATTGCAGAGGGCCATCAAGACTATACACTGTGTTTCCAGATACATTGGTTCAATCATCTACTTCAGTGGAATTACAAAAACTTCACTAGAACAATTAAGAATAGAATCAAGTACCAAAGAATCTTATTTTGAAACAAGTCCTTGAGCAGACAATAAGGAAACCAAAAACAGAAAGTCTTTAAATTCAAGATATCTAATTTTGCAGCATTTTTGATGGGCATTTTTCCTCTTTTTGAAAGTAGTGAGTCAAAGTAGTTTCAATAGTCCATATCTCAAATGTCATTATACGCAGATGCTTTTTGTCATTTCTAATGCAGAAATGTTTTTGAGGAGAGATCTCTCACATTCTTCATAATCTCAGATGATGAGTGATTAGGCACAAGAGTTGAGGACAGAATTGAGGTAATAAATGTCAGTGAACAAACTGACAGTCTTACTTTTTTGTACAGAGAGATTATTTCACAGATGAAGATGAGCTAAAACATGTTAACACATACTTAGTTGAAGGTTAAACGTTATTAAGCTGTAATGTTATACTAATCAGTAATGAAACACGATGGAAATACTTACATATTGTGATCTGTCCACAGCATGTGCTTCGATGGAATGCTGTAGGTCGGCCTGCATGACCATGGACTGCAGCTCCTTTACTCCTATGCGATCATGCACCACTCTGTCCTTGACAAAGATGCTCGCAGCTCTCAGCATGAAGGACACAAATAAATGCATATGGATGTAGTTCCTGGTGCAATGCAATCGCCTGTGAAAAAAGAACTGGATTTGAATTCATTTAGAGATCGAAAGGGAGGAAGGGTACACATGAATATTAGACTGCAAAAAGGAGAGGGAAAGAAGTTTAAACAAAGACAGAAATCCATTGTTACATATTTCCAATAAAAAACCAACTAGAATCTAAAACTAAAGCACATGGAAGGAAACTTCTTCCTAAAGAGAGATTCACTTTTCTCAGCTTATTATCACATTTATTCACATTTTGAAGTACTAGGTATTATTCTAGTGTATTAGATTTGGTGTTGCCTTTCAGTTAAACAATGCCAACTATACCACCAGAGTTCTCTATATATTAAAGTAATGCACAATTATAAAGAACCACCTCAGAAAGGGGTAAACATTAAATGGACCTTCCATAGGGAAGACCCTCAGTGACATATATTGAGGCTCCCTCCAGAAGCAGACAGCATTTCAACATGTTACATATAATAACATTATTGAGTTAGAACCAACATAACAGCAGCTAAGAAGGGCAACTCATGTTGCACAAAATCCAGACTCTTGACAAAGAATATTAGAATGTTAATTGTTTTCTCAGCTCTTTGTATCACAGACTGGCTGTATTGTGAATATATACATCTTACATAGGCATAATGCATCGGGTGTTTACCTGATAGTTTAAAGACTAATGTGCACCTGAATTAAACCATGGTATTTTTGCTTATTTATAATGCACCTCTAAGGTGAACTCTTGCTGCAGTTTCTCCAAGACTTCTCTGCTTATTCTTTGGGCAGTCCATGCAATGTTCACTACTCTTCAACACCACAATTCAAAGACATCAATTCTTCTTCTGTCATCCTTATTCATTGTCCAGCTATCAGATGCATAGCAAGTGATGGGAAATACCATGGCTGAATCAGATGCACCCACCTTAGTCCTCAAACGGACATCTTTGCACCTTGATAATTCAGAAAAGTCTTTGACTTCAGATTTTCCTAGTGCAAGATGTCTCTTTATTTCCTGACTTCTAATACCAAAGGTGTTGATTGCATATACCAGTAAGATGAAATCATGATCCTTGGAGGCAAAGATGATAAAGCTTCATCTCACATACTTAGCCATGTTGCTAGGAGAGCCTATTCCAAGGGGAGGGTTATCATGCTTAGAAAGGTGAAGGGTTGCTGAAATAGAGGACGAACTTAAACCAGGTAGATTGACAGTGTCTGCTGCAATGGGCTCCAGTGTATTAGGAATTGTGAAAATGGAACAGGATAGGACAGGGTTCAGATCTGTTGCTCATAGGGTCACTAAGAGTCAAACTCGACTCAGTGGCACCTAACAACAATAGCTTATGCAGCTTAAAGCTGGACAGTGACTAAGGATGACAGAAGAAGAATCAATGCCTTTGAGTTGTGTTATAGAATAGTACTGAATATTTCCTTTACTGACAAAAGAACTAACAAATATGTCTCGGAGAAAGTGCAATCAGAAAGCTCCTTGGAGGCAATGACGGTGAAGCCTGGTGTCACATATATGGGGGCATGTCTTAAGAGGATCCTGTCCTTGGAAAAGACATTATGCTTGGAAAGTTAGAGGGTCAGCTAAAGAGAGGAAGACCTACAACAAGATGGATCGATACAGTGCCTGTAACGATGGGCTCAGGTCCATCAGAGATGGACAGAGGATGGCAGAGAACAGGGCAAGGTTCAGATCCATTGTTCACAGGGTCACTAGGAGTTGTGGTCAACTTGAGGGAACACAGCAACAACAACACAGTTGTTCGCGTTTTTTAAAATCTTCAAATTGGTGATTGAAATTGTATTTTCTTAAATTACATTGAATTAAAGAAAAACTTAATTGGAAAAAACTAAACCACAACAAAAGCAAGAAATGCTATTTCTTATGCACTGATAATAAATAATTTGAAAAATGATTTAAGACAAATTTCTGTTCAATAATACCCATTATCATCTCAAAAAACATAAGCCATTACATCATTAATGATAATATGTGTGATTCATTCAATTCTGTGTTGTGTCACTTTGCAAACTAATGCACCCAATGAAGATCTATTGACTTAAAGGCCTCAAAAATCTTTATTTATTAAATTGGAAGCAGGAGTGGCATCCACTACCATAAATAGCTTGCCTCCAGAAACCCTAAGAACCTGGAGAAAGGATGGAAGTCACGCACGCAAGTGTCGAGGACTTTCGTTCATAGGGTCACTAAGAGTCACCTATGACTCGACGGCACTTAACAACAAAAACAACATTGTATTTCTTACTTATTGACTTAAAGGTCTCAAAGTTCTTTAATTTTTTAACACCAGCAAAAATCTTTTCTCATGGAAAGTTTATTCTATGGAATTAAAAAAATCCATTTTGGGGGAAATATTTTGTGAGATTATTCTTCTACAGGTAAAAAGTAGATTCTAACCCTTGACAGAGAGAAAGTCATTGAAAATCACTCACCTGAAGTAACTAATGATGAGGATAGCTACAGCCAGGGATCCAAAGGATATGGAGTAGCCAACGGTGTACATGACATAGAGGCGTTCAAAGAATTCTTTCTGGAGGAGAAAACATACATACACATGTCACAGGATTACACTGCTAGTAAACAAGAACTTCTCAACGATGGGTTCTTTTCTTTCTTCGATGTAGTTGTTCCCCACTTGCTACAACCCCACAAATTCATGCAGTCACAGTCTCCACTCTTACAAAAGGACTTGCCCAATCCTGGAGTTGGCTTGTTTCTATTCTCTTTTCATCACCTTGCTGATAGGTTTCTACAAATTACTGATTTTTTTTTTAACCTTATCCAGCTTATTCTAATCATTGCAATTTCCTAAACTCTAACAGTAGCCTTAGTACCAGCAGTCAGGAAACCTAGAGACATATTTCACTGGGAAAGTCTGCAATTGGGGACCTCTTCAAATTATTGAGGAATAATGTTGTCAGTTTGAGGACTAAGGTCTGATTCAGGCCAGGGTTTTTCTGCTATGACTCAAGAGCTGGACGATGAATAAGAAAGACAGAAAAAGAATGGATGTCTTTGAGCTGTGGTGTGGAAAAGGTTGCTGAACATCCTATGGACTGCTGAAAGAACAAACATGCCTTGGAGAAAGTGTTGCCAGAGTGCTCTTTGGAGGCAGAGATGATGCCTAAAGTCTGTTGCTAGGAGGGGCAATTCCTTGGAGAGGAGCATTATTGATACTCAGAAAGGTATGAGGGTCAGTGAAGGAGAGGAAGACCCTTGACCAAGTGGATTGACACAGTGACTGCTGCAATGGGCTTTAATGTGTCCAGGAAGCATTAGGATGGCACAGGATAGAGCAGGGTTCAGATCTATTGTTTCATAGGGTCACTATGAGTCGTACTCTACTTGATGGCACCTAACAACAGAAACAGGAGTCTCTTGTTTCTTTGCAAGCCTTTTGAAGCATTATTTCCCACTGTGTTCTCTTCTGCTAGGAAAACCCTTGAGGCATGGTCCTCCAGGAGGTGCGCTGCTGACCTAAAGATGGTGCCTCTGTAGTAGTTCAGAGTCGCATGGCTCCACAGGGGGGAAATGGGAGGCTTTTTAATTTTCTGTTAATAAAATACTAAAGGTTGTTACGGAAAGCATTTAGATAAGGTATAAAATATAAAAGAAAGGAGAAATCTCCTCACCAACAAAAAAGAAACATTGTTACTATTTCACATATTTCTATTTATTCTCTCTCTATACATCATTTCCTGTTGTTTTAAGTATCTGTTACCCTAATTACATAAAAGTTTATTGGCTGGGAGTTTTTTTACTTGGTTTTCAGTAAACTATAAAACAAAAATATTTCCCAGGACTTTGTAAACTCTTTTAAAAAAAATTTAGCTTATTTAAGCCATTCCTTTATTGGAAACTTGTATTCTTCAAAATATTCACTGTAAAAATTAATGGTCCAGTGAGCTTTTTAAAAATTCCATTCTCACTGTGCTTGAATCTTGGAAGTAAAATGATAAACTCAAAGGATATGACCTCTCTGAAGTGTTTTGATATATATTGCCAAATTGCTTTCAAAAAGGTCCTATAACCTTTACAGGTGAAATATAATCTCCACAGAGTGTTTAAGCTTGAAATCTCCTATTCTACAGAAGACTGTCAGTTAGCAGCCTGTCATAATAACGCCTTCCACTCTTTTATTAAAAATTTACTATCTTACTCTGTGAAGCCAAGGATGTAGAAATTAAAACAATAACTATTCAAAACTATCTTAGTCACATTATTCCCACAATGATATGCCATTTGGTCTAAATGCATGCTCATATATTCCGTCTCTTATTCTTCCTTATGTAAAAAATTTCACTGTAGCCATTAATAAATTATAACTCACGAACAATATCATTTTGTCTTCCAGTATATAAAAACTTTTAAAAAAATCATTTTTTATTCTTTTTCTTAAATTTTCTCAAGCTATTGTTTAAGAATTGTTGACAATAGAGAACACTTTTATCCTTTTAATTAAACACGTAAAACTGAATTACTTATACTAATGAAATTATTCACAGTTTTAATTAACTTTTAAGCTTGTTTTATAAGAAATATTACATTTCTTGGATATACTAATCATTCTTGTTTTGCCTCTTGAGATAAACAGAATCACAAAAAAATGGTTATAAATTTAGAGTTGTGTATGAATAAAATTTATTTTTTAATAAATAACTTAAATTTTATTTAAGTTAATGGTCATCAAAATACATTGAAAGACCTCCCTGTTTAACCTTTTAAATAGTAAGCACAATAAGTTTCATTATAGTAAATATTAATGAATATTTCTGTCAATGGTGACAAATTATTTTTAGTAGTAAATCATTTTAAGCCTTTAATATTAACTGCATAATGACTTTTATTCTATTATGAAGTAATTAATAATCTCCCAGTACTGACATTTTATTTAAGAAAGTATCTTCCCATTGACTAATCTTACAAAAGCATCTTGTCAGTAACGAGGTACAAAACTGAAGTTCATTATTTAATTTACTAAAGAGCTGAGTGAAGGAAAGTGGTAGTGTTTTATGTTAGACAAGAAAAAAGAGAGGAACTTTAGATTATTAATGTCGATAGAAATATTGATTGTAACTTGTTTTGTTGTTAGGTGCCGTCGAGTAGAGTATGACTCATAGTGACTCTATGAACAGCCATTCTGAAACCTGCCCTAAACACTAGAGGTCATTCCTGACATTACAATGACAATCCTTCTCTTTGGGGGTCTTTCTTTCCTTCGATAAAGCCTCATCTATCCAAGTATGATGTCCCTTTCCAAGGAATAGCCTTGCCTAGCTCCATGTCCAAAGTATGAAAGACGCAGCTTGGTGACCCTTGCCTCCAAGGAACACTCTAGCCCCACACTTTTCAGGACATATCTATTTGGATTTTTGCCAGTCTAGGGATATTCACTACTCTTCTCCAGCACCAGAACCCAAATGTATCAATTCTTCTTCTGTCATCCTTCTTCAGTGGCCAACTCTCTGATGCATAGCAGGTGACTGAGAAGACTAGGGCCTAAACATCTGTCCTCTGGTTGTTGAGATGTAATCTATACTGAAAGCCGTAATAGAGATCTTGAAAGCAGATCTCCCCAGTGTAACATCTTTTGATGGCTGCTGTCAAGGATGTTGACTGTAGATCCAAGCAAAATTAAATCCTTGACATCATCAATCTTTTCTCCATCTATCATGTTGTTGCCAATTGGTCCAATGGTAAGGATTTTTCCCCCTGATGTTGCTATATAATCTGTATATAAGCCTTTGATTTTCTTCAATAAGCGTTTCAAGTCGTCTTCATTTTCTATAAGCAAGGTATGTCATCTTCATGATACAGGTTGTGGATGAGTCTTCCTCCAATCTTAATACCACACTCTTATTTATATGATCCATCTTCTTGAATTATTTTCTCAGTAGACATAGTGAATGGGTATGGAAAAAAGATAAAACCCTGATGCATACCTTTCCTGATTTCAAACCATGTAGTATTCTCTTGTCCTGACTGCTTCTTGATCAATGTATATGTTTCAAATAAGGACTGATAACTAAAAATAAATCATGAAACATGTTATAGATAGTAGACACATGTATACATTTCTAAATATATATGCCACGTAACCGGAACCTGAGGAACATTTTTAACATTTCAGATGTCTAGTTATGATAAAGTTCTAGATTCCAAATCAGATTTTATCTTTTCTAACTATCATGTTATAGGCTAAGATGATAACATGATTCTTTTTTCCTTTGTTGTTTTTGTTGTATATTGTCAAGTTGGAACCAAATCATAGCTGAGCCTGCAGTGGGTTTTCAGAGCCTATAAATTGCATGGAAGGAACTTTTTCTCCCATAGACCAGCTAATGGATTCAGACCACATGCCTCTGGGTTGCCAGAGCAGGTCTTTACCACTAGCTTTCCTTTGGTGGCTCCCTAACACAAAAATACCATTACCTTTCCTACACCCATGTCGGGCTGCAGAAAGTGAAGGCATTCTGAGTAATTGGCCCATGTTTTATTTACGCTGTGCATAAAATCCCATGTCCCATTGGGATTACAGTGTCGAAATGCAACTCCTATAAAGACATGAAGAAAGATGTTAAAATTTCTCAGTTCACTTAAAGTCCTTTATTTTAAATGCCAATTAAAAATCCATTTCAAATTCATAATTTTAGAAAAACACAATACCTTTATGATTGAAGTCATAAATATAAGGAGGGCATGGGACAGCAGATATTTTTCCCACTGTTCCTCTGGGCCAACAAATTAGTCCGTCCCATTCTGGGAAACAATTTCCTTCTGGTAAAGATAGAAATTAAAAAACAAACAAACAAAAATCTCCTTGAAAACAGAACATAAATGCATTTAAATTTACAAAATTTCAGATCTCTGTGGTAAAATAAAAAATAATTTGATAACTTTAGAAAGCATAATGGAGGAAATACAATGCAAATTTCCTAAGATTCACCTAATTGTCCCATCAGAGGCCTAGTCAATCAGAACATTTGATTCATACAAGTTAAAATATCTCAAGAAGTCCAACTCTAATAGTTATAAATCAATCTGCTTTCTTGTTTATTTGAGTTTGTCGTGGTACCTAGTACTGATATAGTAGAAACTTGAACAGTTCAGGCGGCTCCAAGTCCACAGGCAAGTCCACATCCTTGCTATGGAGGAGGTTTCCCTTTCTTTGGTTTTGGTTTTAATCTCCTTTCAATATCTGTGGGCCTTGGAGTTATCCATTTGTCTTAGAATCAATCTTTCCCTAAGCCTAGCATGTTCCACTCTCAGCACTTCTTACTAAAGTCCTCCAATCTATGCTAGCACCTCTCTCCTTTAATCTCTCGTAAAATAAAAGGTACTACAAGTCACAACTCAGAGAAATTCCCCTTAGATCAGATCTGGACTGTCAACTGACAAAGGATGCTTGTTCCCAGCCTTACTCTCCTACAGGGGACTGACTGACAGACACCAGAACACATCGCATTGGTGGTGGTGGTGGTGGTAAGTGCCTTCATAGCTACCCTATGAACAAAATATCTGAACCTTGTCCTGTCCCATGCCATCCTAATCACCTCTGATATACTCAATCTTATCGCTGCAGCCACTGTGTCAATCCATTTTTTGAGAGTCTTCCTCTCTTTATCTGACTCACTACCTTTCTAAGCACGATAGCTTCTCCTAGCAATCCATTCAAAGTATGTGAAATGGAGCATCACCATCCTTGCCTCCAAGGAGCACTCCGACTGTACCCTCTCCATGACATACCTGCTTGTTCTTTTGGTAGTCCATGGGAAATTCAGCCTTCCATCCAACATGACAATTTAAAGACATTGGTCTTTCTTCTGTCATCCTTATTCACTGTCCAGCTCTCAGATGTATAGCAGATAACAGAAAAGACCACATCTTTAAGCTGACAGCACTGCTCTTCAGTACTTTGGAGAGGTCCCTGACAGCAAACTTAGTGCTAAATGCCTTTTGGTTTCTTGACTGATGGTACAGATGTATGGCTTGTGGATCCCACAGAGATGAAATCATTGATAACTTCAAACTTTTCTCCATCTATCATGATGCTCCCTACTGGCCCAGTAGTGAGGATCTTTGTTTTGTTGAGGCTGAGATATGATCGATATCACAGGCTGTAGTCTTAGATCTTCTACAAGTGTTTCAAGCCCTCCTCACTTTCAGCAAGCAAGGTTGTATCATCTGCATAACAAAGGTTATTGATATCTCTTACTCTGATCCTGACACCACATCGTTCTTCCAAAAAGTCCAGCTTCCTGAACAATTTGCTCAGCATACAGATTGAACAGGTATGAAGAGAAGATACAGCCTTTATGCACACATCTCCTGATGTTAAACCACGCAATGTTCCCTTGTTCTCTTCAAACAAAGGTTCTTGGTCTAAGTGTAAGTTTCACATAAGCACAACTAAGCGTTCTGTAATCCCCATTCTCCTCAGTGTTAGGCTTAGTTTATTATATTATCAGATAACTGTGAGTTCACATCATTACATTACATTACCAAAGCAGTGAGAATCATGGTTTGGCCATGTGGACACGTATTTTGGGAAGAGGTACTTTGATCCTGTACAGAGTTGTCAGAATTCCATTCTGTGCAGTTCAAGGACAAAAGTTCCTTGCTGGCTCTGAGCTCAGAGCTGTTCCCAGCTGTTAAAAACTTTCTGAAGACCTTGGCTCATGGCACCTTTATCCATCTTGCAAATTAGCAATGGCAAGTTGAGTCCTTTACACACTTCAACTCCTGCTTGTGCTCTCCACTTTTTTTTTTCTTTTCTTTTATTATTATTAAATTTTATTAGTTTTAATGA